TTTTTTTTTTTTTTGGCAAGTAGAGTCTTAATTCAGGCGGAATTAGATGCATAAAAGCAATATTTTAATTTTAATTAAGCATTAGATTGTGAACCCTTTCCCTACACCGCTGACAAGTGTGTAAGACCAAATCCGCGGAGATACGCCAGGTCACAGACGCAATGGCGGTCGGCAAACCGCCAAACGCCTACGTCTTCCCCTTACCCGGCTCGGGCTTGATTAGCTTGGTATTCTGTCTTAAAGCAGGCTCATCATCCCCCCCCCCCCCCCCTAAAACCGGCGGAGATGAGGCAATCCATAATTGAGATGGAATTAGCTGACCATAGGGCATAATTAAGGCTACGAAGGGAATAGAATTATGCCAGAATAATCGCGGCTGAATAACTGAAAGGGCTTTCTGCTACTTTTTTTTTTTTTTTTACCTATGTCGTCGGTTCTGATGCTGAAACCGTTCATGACAAACTTTTAGCTCGGCCTGAGAGATTTCAGATTCGCATCTGTCATGCTTTTTGCCATCGTCACCCTTCAGGCCAATCTACACAACTCTTTATCATCGCGTACTCTTTGTCCCCCCAAAAGTAGTGTTTAATACTTAATTTGTTATTTATACTATATTATATTATTAATATAAATAAATATACAGTACGTTTGGGAGATAACAAGTACGCGACGCTCTCTGGGTTTGATCAGAGCAAACAGATAGCTTATCTTTGTGCAAACAATTTAAGCAACTACTCCATCGGTGTATGGCTTTGCATACAGTACTGCATATTTTACAGTACATTTGGAGACACCACATACGCGATGTTCAAGAGTTTCTGTGAATTGGCCCCTGATAATTTAGCTAGAGCGACCTTGAAAATGAGTTAATTTAGAGTCACCTGACTACTTTGTCGGTGCATATCTCTGCCGGTCCGTGTTCCTAGGGGGACACTATGCGCAGTTTTCAATCAAGTTCTAATAGTAAAGAGCGAGCATTTCCGCGACTCGGGTATACAGTTTACGAAATCATTCATTGAGAGGTTGTGATGCTGCAAATACAACAAAAATCTACTGAGTGTTCGGTCATTTAAGCCGACTTGACTGCTGCCGAATACTTGCACACGGTCATTGTGGCGTTCTTACCCTGGAACGGCTCCGTGCCAGCCTGGACGTGAGTCAGATACTGGGTCGGGGCGATGGTGTTGTCCGCTGGCAACTCGTCGAAGAACTGCTTGAAATCGGCCGAGAAGCTCTTGGTCATGTTGACTGCGACGTATGAGAACACTGTGGTGTTGCCGTTCTTGCCCTGGTACAGGTTAAAGTCAACGTTGCTAACCTTCACCTCCTTGATAGGCTTTCCGGTCGTGGTGAGAGGCCAGGCGCCACCGAGCGCAGCCAGCCATACCATCAACTCATACTCGACGGTCCCATTAGCGGTAGCGCTAGTGAACAAATCATACGCCACATTGGTGATGATATTGCCGTCATATTTGTAATCGTACTCGATAGTCGAAGGGATCGACGCGACGTTCGCTATTTGCACCGGGTTGAACTTGAGGGCGGCGTTGGCGAAGGACTTGACCTGCCAGTTATCGCCTGCCCAGTTGAAGCTCGTGTGCCAGGCGATGGTAGAGCCGTCGACACTATCGAGGCCCGTGCACTGGCCTCCCGCCTTGTCGTTGTCTTGCCCCCACAGGTTGTTGTAGATGGTGTAGTCGTCCGTCTGCGTTGAGTTCCATTGACCGCAGAACTCCTCCTCGGCGAAGACAGATGAGGCCGCAACTGCGGCTACAGTAATGGCGATAGAGATCTTCATTCGTGCAGCACGGGGGCTCTGGTGAAAATCGGAGACTGATGTAGAGCTCACATGGCGCGTTCGACTGCTAACGACAGCGTTACGTAGATCTGTAGAGCTCCTTTTCAGAGAATCTAAGAGACAGCGGCGATTGGAGAACTTGTTGGCTATCCCATCTCGGATGTTTGCACGAATCCATTACTATACAATTGTGCTCAATATTCAGTGAATGTGCAGAATAATACTGAAATATTGAATACAGCATATTTTGCTAAGAGAATGCAACAAAGACTGGAAGTACACATGTACATGACAGACAGAGGACTTTGCAATTGATCCGAACCAATCCTTCAATGTATATAGAAGCACCCAGGCTATCGAGAATGTCTACGGATGGCGGGTTTCTAAACGGAACTCCCGTGTACCCGTCGTCCAGGTTTTCGATCCCTCGCAACAGTGTGCAGAGTTTACTGGATTGCGTACGCTTCCAGTGTCGGGATATTACGCATTACGATTACTTTTACAAATGGGCTTATTATTTATAAGCATTTACAGATGCATTGGATAATTGTGGAGACATGATGAACATTCATTTCGAGGAAGCGAGCTATAAGCGTTTTTTTGGGGATATATATCATTGGTGTTACTGTTTAGCGGGACTTCCTCTGGCCTACCTCAAGGAAACCAGAACGCAAGCAGCGAAAAAAGTTTTATTTTACCGTGGATTTCTAGAGAACAAGGCCACACATCTTGCATTGCAACTTGCAATGCAAGATGCGTGGGCTTGCAATTTGCAGGCCTTGCAAGCAACGGATGCGTCACCCACACAACTGCACGAACACCAGGATCTTTGGGCCGAACATGACTCGTGGGCGCAGATGGTAATCAGAGCCAGTATACGCCGATCTCGCCCGCAGTGGGGAACGTTGCCGAAAATGGGATGACCATGAAGATGAACTTTGCTGTTGTATTCGGAAGAGCTGGTTCTGTCAAATCCCTATCGTAACTACTACTTTTCAATGGTCGCCGTTTTCAGTATGTACGCGCTGGCTGAGTCTACGCGGTCGCTTAAACTGTGTGGACAGCGGCCGAGTACTTGGACACAGTCATCGTGGCGTTCTTGCCCTGGAACGGCTCAGTACCAGCCTGAACGTGGGTGAGGTACTGCGTCGTCTCGATCGTGTTGTCGGCCGGAAGCTCATCGAAGAATTGCTTGAGGTCAGCCGAGAAGCTCGTGGCCATGTTCTTGGCGACGTACGTGAAGACCTTGGTCTTGTTGTTCCATCCCTGGTACAGGTTAAACTCCACGCCACCGAGCGTTACGGACTTAATAGGTTGGCCAGTGGTGGTCAACGGCCAGGCACCGCCTAGTGCGGCAAGCCAGACCATCAGCTCGTACGCGGTCTCGCCGCCAATCGAGGGGCTAGTGAACAGGTCGTACGCCACATTCGTGATAATGTTGCCGTCATACTTGTATGTGTACTCCATCGTGGTGGGGATTGACGTCACATTGGAGATCTGCACAGGGTCGAACTTGAGCGCAGCGTTGGCGTACGACTTGACCTGCCAGTTATCGCCGGCCCAGTTAAAGCTCGTGTGCCACGCGATCTCGGAGCCGCTGCTGCCGTCAACCGTAGTGCACTGTCCACCCGCCTTGTCGTTGTCCTGTCCCCAGAGGTTGTTGTATACCGTGTAGTCTCCGACAACCTTGAAGTCGTCACGCCCACAGAATTCCTGAGCGTTCGATGACGATGCCGCAGCGGCGAGGGCGAGGGCAGCGAAGGAAAGCTTCATGGTTAATTGGCGAGAGCTGAGAGGGTTGGAGCAAATTACTGACTGGGCGAGTCTTGCACTGGTCATTTGCATGAGACCAGCCTGCTGGTGGTCCCATCTCGAAAAGCAAGCCTGCCGTACGTTTGCAACCCCCGATTACGCCGAAAATGCAAATCAACCTAAGCGACTCGCTTAGCGAGCAGTTTTAGCTAAAACTGGAGACATGGGTCGAGTATCGGATACTGTATCCGGATAAGGTATGAGTATACTTTGACCAGAAGATTTGCACAAAACCCATGTATTCATTAGATAGCTCCTCGACCACCAGGGTCACGGCGGTGAGGCAGTGAAGTGGTTCGGATGACGATGGAATCCACCGTAATCTAAAACCAGATCCACGTTGAGATGTAGATTCCTCACTCGAGTTCGAGCCAACTCAAAACGTCCCAGCAAACGCAAAGCGTACAAAGGTGCCTTTGTTCCGCATTGCGAAACGAAATCGAATCGGGAGGCAAAGCAAACGCCTCAGAAGGTGATCCAGGATGCGGTCGATTTAACTTGTCGCTGAAACCATGAAAGATTTGTTGGTAGTAATCCCCATTTGCTGTGATTTTAAAATAACTGGGCACTTTCGTATCCTTTTGCAACGATTTCTCATCTTTCCTAGCAGGATTCTTGGTGTCAAGGAACGAGCTATACCTCTCCGACAACACGAACGTCACATGAAACTTGAACCAACACTGTATGTAATAGATTGAAGATGCCTCGTACACGATACTTAGTGCAATACCTGAAATACCAGGTTTCAATGTAATCCTTGCTACAGTAACGTGGTTGTCCATCCTACTACTTCTCTAGTGTGGTGGATTCCTCTACGGTCTTTGGTGTAAAAATGTCGGTGCCATGGCTTAGTTGACCTTCGACGAGTACGATTTCACAATCATCTCGCCGTTCTTGCCCTGGAAGGGCTCCGTGCCGGCCTCCAACTTCACCAAGTACTGCGTCTGAGGCAGTGTGTTGTTGGCAGGAAGTTCGTTAAAGAACTTCTTCAGGTCAGCCGAGAACTTGTAAGCAGTCTTCTTGGCGACGTATGAGAACACCTTTACCTTCTTGTTCATACCCTGGAACAGGTCAAAGTCGACACCGCCGATATTCACGGTCTTGATGGGCTTGCCACTGTCGGTCAGAGGCCAGGGACCACCAAGTGCAGCGAGCCACACCATCAATTCGTACTCAATTTCACCGTTGGCGGACGAACTGGTGAACAGATCGTAGGCGACATTGGCGATGATATGGCCATCGAAGGTGTATGTGTAGTCGATCGACGTGGGAATCGACGAGATCGCCGAGACCTGCTTGGGTTGGAACTTGAGCGCGGCGTTGGCGTACGACTTAACCTGCCAGTTATCGCCGGCCCAGTTGAAGCTTGTCTTCCACGAAACAGACGAGCTGGTGCTGCCAGTCACCTCCGTGCACTGTCCACCAGTCTTGTCATTGTCTTCGCCCCAGAGGTTGTTGTATACCGTGTAGTCTCCGACAACCTTGAGATCGTCGCGGCCACAGAACTTTTGGGCATCTGCAGAGGAAGCAACGGCGGCGAGGGCAAGAGTAGCAGGGATCAGGAACTTCATCGTATTTGTCAAGATTGGTGTGAGGGTTTTGGAGCAGATTACCGAGTGAGAGCAGCGCAATGGTAGTTTTTTCTTGCTTGAAAGGCGACTAACAACAAGTTTGAATCCAACGCGATGTGGTCCCATCCCGAAGCCGAGCACGGCCACACGCACTCTGCCGATCACGCCCTATTAGTCCAGTATGGTTTATTTGCATTAATTATCGTAAAACGTTAATATTTGTTATGATAGTAGAACTTCTACTTTCAGTGCCTGCACAAGGCTCTCCGTCATTGGGGCTCGCATACGCCGAAGAAATCTATTACATGTAGATAAGTGCGGTTGACAAATAGCTGAGCTAGGGGATTACATGTGTAGATCCTGGCACGGAGCAAAGCGTCTTCACGATATCGTCAAACGTGAACTTGAAGTTGATTCTAGAGGATATTCCTGGGGTTTGCAAAAAAAAAAAAAAAAAAAAAAAAAAAAGGGAGAGAGACCAAGTCTATGTTTGCACATGCGATTACGACAACATCGTTGCCAAAAGAACTCGTAAGCATATCGGATATCGTACGCAATGTTGGCGATGATATCGCCATCGCATGTTTAGGCGTAATGCATCGTCGTAGGGATCGAGCATACTGG